AACAATATCCTCTATCCTCTATTTTTAGTCTCTGACGCAAGGGAAAACACTGAGCATCTTCCGTGTCAAAACCCCTCGGTATGTTTGTTTCTCAGATTGCTGCTTGTTCTGTTAAACATTCAGTTTGAGAGTTGTAGAAAAGTAGTGGCTTTTGCACTGGTCCTGGGTTTTGGTTTTGTTTTTGATTATTAAGAGACTTTAGGAGGTTTTTGTAATAGGCTATCTCCATGATGAAAGGAAAATTGCCAAGTCTGATTGGGAGTGTTATAAAAATATATTTTCCCTACTTGCATCAATGTTTATTGTCTCTGTCTCCTTTTTTAGTGAATTTGTCCTTCTAGCAGTTGTTCTCTCCTCCTCCTTTTCTTCCTCCGAGTACTTCCAAGGAAGAAAAAAAAACTCCAAAAAGAACAAGAGCCACCAAAGAGGGAGAGCAACTCTGTTGGGAATATACAAACAGCAGCTGCTGATGGAGGCAGAATTTTAAAAATGAAGCAGCTGAAGGTGAAAAGAAAAGAATGGTATAGGCTGAAGCAGATATGGAAACTAATTTAAATTTTAATTGATTAGAAAATTAGATTTTTGTGTACTGTTCAGAAAATTTAAATGGTTACAATGACTAATGAATTGTGGAATCAAAAACTGTCAGCTGACTTTGGTGAAATGTTGCTCATATATGTAATAAACTTTTTAGCAATGTAATATAGTTGATTTTTGTTTGCAGAAATATCTGCATGTATTTCTCTTTTTAGGAATTCTACACAGTGTACTCCTAATTGACAAGAATGGCAAGTAACCCCTCAGTGGCTATGCTCAGTAAAGTTCTTGAGCAGCAAATGCTCCAAACAACTGAGATAGTGGAACAGCATCTAGATACGGAGATTGAAAAGTTTGAGAAGATGGATGCAGATGAACTGGAGAAACTTCGAGAAAAGAGGCTTGAATCAATGAAGAAAGCACAGCATCAGAAACAGGTGAAACTTGCACTAAGCAAACGCACGCTTGTCAATTCCAAATTGCACCATATTAGCAAACTAGAATATTATTCTAAAGTGTATGAGAAAGTACATTAATTTTATTGTCTTGAATTCTTTTTAACAACATTTAAATGGAAATAGAAATTTCAGTATAAATTCAAGTAAATATTTGAGATTTCAAACTACTGATCAATTTGGGCTGTGGGATTAGTGTCGCATTCAAATGGACTTTTTTTTTCTTTAATACACATCAATGTTTTTAAATATAATTGTTTTTTGATGTAAAGCACTTAAACATTTTCTCTTTTTAAATTGAAATGCAGGAATGGCTTTCCAAGGGCCATGGTGAATATAAGGAGATTCCCAGTGAAAAAGATTTTTTTCAAGAGGTTAAAGAGAGTAAAAATGTGATTTGCCACTTTTACAGAGATACTACATTTAGGTGAGGAGCTACATATTTTTCTCTAGCAAGACGACAAAGCAGAATAATTTGAACTTGAGAATCAGAGGGTAATTATAATTGCCATTATTTGAGTTTCAGACAAGTCTTGGTGATCCTACTTGTCTGACATTGAAATAATGCTAATTATAATACCCCCTGATTCTCAAGTTCAAAATATTCAATACTGTGGAACCAAAAAGAAATTTACTTTCTCTGCCACCATCCAAGTTTCCAACTAGTGGATCATGAAGAAACCCAAAACAGCACTACTGTTCTTTGCACTCTTGTGGGTAAGAACTCTTGGTGTTACACAGCTGCTCTGTTAACTTCGTATCAGAGATAGTAGGAACTGCAGATGCTGGAGAATCTGAGATAACAAGGTGTAGAGCTGGATGAACACAGCAGGCTGAGCAGGAATGCTGACGTTTCGGGCCTAGACCCTTCATCAGAAATGGGAGAGGGGAAGGGGGTTCTGAAATAAATAGGGAGAGAGGGGGAGGCGGATAGAGGAGAAGATAGGTGGAGAGGAAACAGACAGATCAAAGAGGCAGGGCTGGACCCAGTAAAGGTGGGGAGATGGGTCAGGCCAGGGAGGACGGACAGGTCAAGGGGGCGGGATGAGGTTAGTAGGTAGGAGATGGGGGTGTGGCTTGAGGTGGGAGGAGGGGATAGATGGGAGGAAGGACAGGCTAGGGAGGTGGGGACAAGCTGGGCTGGTTTTGGGATGCAGTAGGGGGAGGGGAGATTTTGAAGCTTGTGAAATCCACATTGATACCATTGGGCTGCAGGGTTCCCAAGCGGAATGAGTTGCTGTTCCTGCAACCTTCGGGTGGCATCATTGTGGCACTGCAGGAGGCCCAGGATGGACATGTCATGTGAGAGGGGGGGGGGAGTTGAAATGGTTCGCGACTGGGAGGTGCAGTCGTTTATTGTGAACCAAGCGTAGGTGTTCTGCAAAGCGGTCCCCAAGCCTCCGCTTGGTTTCCCCGACGTAGAGGAGGCCACAATGGGTACAGCGGATGCAGTATACCACATTAGCAGATGTGCAGGTGAACATCTGCTTGATGTGGAAAGTCATCTTGGGGCCTGGGATGGGGGTGAGGGAGGTGGTGTGGGGGCAGGTGTAGCACTTCCTGCAGTTGCAGGGAAAAGTGGTGGGGCTGGTGGGGAGTGTGGAGCGGACAAGGGAGTCACTGAGAGAATGGTCCCTCTGGAAAGCAGATAAGGGTGGGGAGGGAAAAATGTCTTTGGTGGTGGGGTCGGATTGCAGATGGCGGAAATGTTGGAGGATGATGCGTTGGATCCAGAGGTTGGTGAACTGCACCTCCCAGTCGCGATCCATTTCAACTCCCCCTCCCATTCCTCAGACGACATGTCCATCCTGGGCCTCCTGCAGTGCCACAACGATGCCACCTGAAGGTTGCAGGAACAGCAACTCCTATTCCACTTGGGAACCCTGCAGCCCAATGGTATCAATGTGGATTTCACAAGCTTCAAAATCTCCCCTCCCCCTACCGCATCCCACAACCAGCCCAGCTCATCCCCACCTCCCTAACCTGTCCTTCCTCCCACCTCAAGCCACACCCCCATCTCCTACCTACTAACCTCATCCCACCCCCTTGACCTGTCCATCCTCCCTGGACTGACCTATCTCCTCCTACCTCCCCACCTACACTCACCTTTACTGGCTCCATCCCCGCCTCTTTGACCTGTCTGTTTCCTCTCCACCTGTCTTCTCCTCTATCCATCTTCTATCCACCTCTCCCTATTTATTTCAGAACTCCCTTCCCCTCCCCCATTTCTGATGAAGGGTCTAGGCCCGAAACGTCAGCCTTCCTGCTCCTATGATGCTGCTTGGCCTGCTGTGTTCATCCAGCTCTACACCTCGCTCTGTTAACTTTTTTGTTTTTTTTCCCAAAAATATATACCTCCATTTCATTCATAAAAATTGTAAATTAAAAATATTTCTGCTTGAATATTTAGATTTGTACATGCCTGTGGCTGCTAGTCTAGTTCAAAAGTACCTCCTTAAATTCAATTATTCCCATATCACTTCATCAAGACCCCACTCAAGGTCAGCATTAGCACGTGTCCACTAAGGCAATGCATCAATTTCCAAAGTACTAATTTTGACAATTGATCTTTGATAATTGAAAAGCTTCCAGTTTAAATATGCAAATTTCCCTGATGACTGGTGTATTTGTAAAACATAATGCCAAATAATAAACTGGCAGTTCCAATAGCTTAAATGGAGCAGTGACTGAAGAAATAGATGGTTGCATGAGAAAGTTTGAACTGGAAAAATCAGCTGTTCGAGAATTGGATGAGTGAGAAGGTGAAAAAAGCTGGCAACAATGACTTTCCAGCTTCCCATTAGCCATCAGTTTTTCTGCGCTTTTATTGCAACATAGTGGTATGAATTGGGTGCCCACTTTTTTTTTTAAAAACGTGAGCCTGTAAAGCTAGTTCTTCAGGGGTTACAGCAGCACCCTACTTCCTGTCGTCTTGACATATCATTTTAAATATTCAGTAACTTTTGAAACAGAGCTTTAACATCTGTCACATACTCTGGTAAAGTATTACAGTAAGTCACCGTATGAAAATTTTCTGCATATGTTGTGCTTATCTCAAGTTTGTGGCATTGTTTTCAATTTGCTGATCAATGGAAATAATTGATAAACATATTCAATTTTTTATTATTAATTTGGAAGACTAATCAGATGTTCGTATCTCTTCAGTCTGTACAGCAACTTTTTTTTTCTTCAGGATTCAAATGTGGTTGAATCATTTTATTACATTATAACTTTTATTTGTGTGTATTTTCTTATGTGCTCAGTATAATTCACTAATTTAATTTGTTCTTCTGTACAGATGCAAGATAGTAGACAAGCACTTGGCTATTCTGGCTAAAAAGCATGTTGAAACAAAGTTCATCAAATTGAATGCAGAAAAGGCTCCTTTCCTTTCTGAAAGATTACGAATCAAAATAATCCCAACAATGGTTTTGGTAAAAGATGGAAAAGCTAAAGACTATATAGTTGGGTTTGATGACCTTGGTTGCACAGACAACTTCACAACTGAAACTTTGGAATGGCGACTGGGCTGTGCTGCTATCATTAACTACAGGTAACACTTCCTGATCTTAGCTCAAATTAATTGGTTAGTACATCTCAGTTTGGGAGACAAAGTACTTTTGAAATCGCAGTTGCTTTTGAATGAAAGATATGATGTTCAAATAAAAACATTCTCCTATGACTTTGTGGCTTTGAGATCAAACATGCCTAATATATTTCTCCATGTACAATTTTTTGTTTTAATTGGTTTGGCATTCTGGACTCTTAATGTTCAAGGTACTTTGTGGAAATAAGTGCAGCCCATGTTACCGTAACATTTGCTCACTCTTCATTAAAGGCAGTGTTTTGTTGTGATACATGTTTGTTTCCCCCATCAAACATTATTTAAGAGCTAATTAACTTTTTTTTTTTTTTTTTTGAAGGAAACATCAGGAACCAATTTGCATGAGAGCCACAGAAACATTACATCTGTTTTCCATTGTGCAATTGAGGGATAGTTTTGGGCAGGATACTGTCAACTCCTTGGTTTTTCTTCTGAAAACATATTAGTCTTTATGTTCACCACCTAACAGGACAGATAAGACCTTTGCCACAGCTGCTGCCAATTAGATTTTAAACAGAGTGTCTTATACCCTGTAGTCTCTGGGGCAGGCCATAAACCTTATCCTTAAGAACCCAAACATGAGGGCTACTACTGAGCCAAGACAGCAACTCTGTTCATGTGACAATTTGGCAGACTCTAGAAAGAGTGCAAATCGGTATTGTATAGGATGGTTCACTTACCGGAAAGGAAATCTTTGTTTTGGAAACATTTTATGCAGGCTGTTTTGTTCCATTTGATATTTGTTTTAAGTTTGCATGGTATGAATACGTTTTGTTTTTCCCAGATTTATTGTCATGACTTGGCTTCAACAGTTGGTGAGATTTGATTCCATCGTTTACTTGCCACACATTTTCTCAGACAGCACTGAAACTGTTGGTGCAAATTTATTGCTTCACATCTGCAACTATGTCAGGCTATTTAAATTTAAATGTTACTACAGCTTGTATCTCTGCTCACAAAAATTGAGGTGCAAAACAGCATTTCATCCATCTATGTTTATATTTCTACTTGATAATAAAACAAAAATGATTTAACTTCTGATTCTTTTATTTTAGTGGAAATTTGATGGAACCACCTTTCCAGCTGCAAAGAAAAAGTGGATGTATCACTAAAATGGAGAAAAGAGCAATTCGAGGAAAAAGTAATGATTCTGATTCTGATTCTGATGATGATGATTAGAGTATGTTTCTTGATCCTAAACCTTGCTTCTAATTTAATTTTTTTTTTTTTGTTTTCCTCTATCCTACTCATTGTCAACTTTTTAGTTTTAACAGATGACATAAATTTTTAATTTTTGTAGATTAATAAAACTCCAAATACAGTTACATTGTAAACACTGACTTTGTCAAATATTGACTGCTGAAAAGATCTTTTTAGAAATGTTCCACAAATGTGACAGCCATTTATTTTGCTGCAATTACACTGCAAGTCTTTCTTTTGTAACAAATGCACAACACTTGCATCACTTATTAGTCAAATATTTATATAAACATTGTACTCTGTAATAAACTGGAAGGACTCGTTCGTTCACCAATGTCTTGAAATGTTGCCTTTTGTAGATTACGTGGTTCTGGATACTGTTTGGCATCTGATGTCAACCAACCAAAATTATTCTCAAAGCTAGGCCATTAAGCAGCAGTGTTTTTTTTTAAACTATTGAGTATCACTGTCAAAGCTGTTCCTTCCAAGTACTCCTCCTTTTTCCCTTTTTTATTTTGGTTTAGTCATTCCTTATAAAAAGTACACCTATTTTTCATGCCTTCTATCCCATTGCTTTGACAAGTATTGACTATTGTAGAGCTTTTTTTTTTCTTCTGGGAATGTTCTACAGATGTTAGTCACGTATCTTGATCTGATTGCATTGTCAGGTTTTTCTTTTTGTAGCAGATGGACAAATACACAACACTTGCATCACTTACTAGTCAAATGACATTTGATTTGTGTTCCATGGATGCTGGTTGACCATAACTGAGCATTTAGGAAACAGTTGGGGTTTTTTTTTTCTTTTTTTGGTGGAAGTCAACATACTCTTCATGCTATTAGGTTATATAACTTAATTACATGCATGATTCAGCAATTTTTCTTGGCTGTGAAAAGGTTAGTGCCTCATCAGGTGGTTTGGTGGGAGGGAGAAAGAAAAGTAGTCACAGCTGTAATATGTAGTTAGCATGTTGTGACCCTGCTCGGGGTTGAGTATTGTTAATGTTGTGATATACTTCATTAGCCACCTAAATAAATATTGATCTATTGCTGTCAACTTGAGGTGTATACCAAATTGAAACCCCCAAATTGAAATTGGATTGAGTTCCCCTCTTTATCCTTCTGCTGCCATCTGATTTTAAATATAGCCCTTAATGAATTCAGAATGTAGGAGGAGGTGGTGAAATTTAAACAAGGTGAGCTGCTTCTTGAACCATGCACTTACAGTTGTTGAGGCAATTATTACACTATTGGACAGGGAATTAAGCAAGAAATAATTGGAGGCTAAATTTTTTTTTTGAGAATCTTTAGCTTGCTGTAGATGAGGTTGCAGACTTGCTTGCCAAGATGGTGTTTGGTTGCAGATGTTTCATCACCCTGCTAGGTAAATATTCAAGATTCATGTACAGAGTATTTTCATTTGTCTAATTAAAATATCTTTTTCTACATTACTGGTGAGGCTAGCTGTTGGCAATTTCTAACTTACCACCACTATCTCAGAGACAGTTTTTAAAATTGGATTTCAGTTCCTAAAATTTTAAACTACATTGCAAAATAGTTTACAAGGCTTTACACTTGCATTATCTAGCAAGATCATGTTCTGTTAGTATGAACTTCACCGCATTGAGCACTAATTGCTAAGATTATATTGGTGACTTTATATATGTGCATTGGGGGTGGCTATATGCTTTTTTTTTAAAAAAGCTTCTACTAATAACGTTTCTAACAACTTGAAACCTAATAATTCCACCATTCAAAATGCTCGAGGAATTTGCATTTATCAACAACTACATGATTCTCTGTAGCAAAAATATTAACTTTTTTCATCTTTGGCTATACAGCTGGTAACCCTCCAGCTGTCAGGCACTGAATTTGGGTCATGGGTTCTAAGCCATACTGTGGCAGATGGTGGAATTTAAATTGACTTAAATATGCAATATAAAACTAATCTTGGCAAGGGTGACCATAAGTGATCACAATTGCCATTTTAGGGAAGGCAATCTGCCATCACTACTGGTCTCTCCTATGTGTGACTCCCAACTGTGCAGGACTTTGGTTAGGCCACTTTTGGAATACTGCATTCAATTCTGGTTTACATTGCTATAAGAAAGATTTAAGGATGTGGCTGGGATTGGAGGATTTGAGCTATAGGGAGAAGCTGAATAGGCTGGGATTATTTTCCCCGGAGCCTCAAAGGCTGAGGGATGACTTTGTGGGAAGCTTAACATCATGAGGGGCATAGACAGGGTAAATAGCCAAGGTCTTTTTTTTTCCTCAAGGGTGAGGGTGTCCAAAACTCGAGGGCGTAGGTTTAAGGGAGAGATTTAAAAGGACCTAAGGGGGATTTTGTGTGTGTGTGTGTGTGTGCGCGCGCACTGAACTAGCAGAAGTAGTGGGGGAGTCTGGTATGATTACAGCAATTAAAAGGCATTTGGTTGAGAACATGAATAGGAAGGGTTTAAGAGGGGTCTGGGCCCTATGCTAACAAACGGGACTAGATTAATTTAGGCTACCTGGTCCGCATGGACAAGTTGGACCAAAGAGTGTTTCCATGCTATATGTCAGACTGATTTTTTTTTATTAGATTCACATTTCACTATCTGCCATGGTAGGATTCTAACCCATGTCCTTAAAACATTAGTGATCCAATGACATTACTATTGCAAAGTGCCCCCCTGACTTGCTTTGACTAGTTCACCTCATTCTCTACAGAACCTTTTTATCAATCATTAAGTCTGTGGTTGGAATAAAGTCAGCAGTTTCTTGTTCCCTATATTGCCATGGCATGATCACCAGAGAATGCTGTAAAATTTCTTCCCACAAAATCTGGGCTGTAGTTTGAGTGAAACACAGCTTGGGAAAAATAAAACTATTGCTCTGTATCACTGGATTATTTTCAAAGTATCTGACTTGAGAAAGTGAACAGGAGTTAAAAATAACAAAATTCAGGTTAGGCAACACCTTCCTCCAAAGTTGATTGCTCAAAAACAATGCTTCACTTATGACTTTGTCAAAACTGGATGTTAAGATATACAACTTTGGTGTATGCAAGCAGAAATAGAAAAACCGGCAATTACTGATGTAGGTCAGGAGATGAACAGTCATGTGAGAATACAAGACAAAAGGAGATAATGAGACATTAATTTTGCGATGTCCAGAAGATGTGCGAGTAATATGACAAGTGGGAGGAAAACTGGACATTATTGTATCAGCCATGATTTCATCTAATGACCACCTTCTACTACATGTCATGGTTAGAGAATATTAGAGAAATGGCTGGACAGATGATGTGTTGTAGCTGTATGATGAGGGAGCTCGCTGATCCCATTGCAAACCGCAGTGACCACATCTGCAGCAAGTGTTGGTTGCTCAAGGAATTTTGGCTCAGAGTTGATGAGCTGGAATCGAAGCTTCAAATATTGCGGCACATCCAGGAGGGGGAGAAGTACCTGGACGATTTGTTTCAGGAGGCAGTCACACCTGGTAGCTTAAGTAATTTAAATTTGGTCAGTGGCCAGGGACAGCAGGATGTGACTGTAAGTGAGGCAGGTAGAGGGATCCTGCAGTCAGGAACAGAGGAACCTCCACTCTTGACCTTGTCCAACAGGTACGAGGTACTTGCTCCCTGTGTGAATGAGGAAATGGGCTGCAGGGAGGATGAGCCAACTGACCACTGCACCATGGTACAGGAGGCCATTCAAGGGCGGGGGGGAGCAAAAAGACAGGTGGTAGTTGTAGGGGATTCTCTAATTAGGGGGATAGATAGTATCCTTTATAAGCAGAATCGAGAATCCCTCGTGGTTTGTGGCCTGCCCAGTTCCAGGGTAAGGGATATCTCTGACCGGCTTGAAAGGATATTGGAGTGGCAAGACGAGGAAAGAGGACCTGTTCTGAGATTATCAGGAGGTAGGAACCAAATTGAAGAACAGGTCCTCGAGGGTTATAATCTCCGTATTACTGCCTGAGCCATGTGCTAATTGGCATAGGGACATGAGAATAAGGGAAGTAAACACGTGGCTAAAAGAGTGGTACGGGAAAAAAGGGTTCGTTTTCATGGGACGCTGGCAACAGTATTGGAACAGGAGCGATCTGTACATTTGGGACGGTCTCTACCTGAATCGAGCTGGGACCAATGTTCCAGCAAAAAGGGTAAATAGGCTAGTCAACAGGACTTTAAACTAGAAAGTGGGGGGGAAGGGAATGGTGAAACTTGCCCTAGCGGGAAACAAAGCAGCATGTTAACATCTGTAGTGGTGGATTCAACTGAGTGGAAATATATGAAAGAAATGACAGGGAAGGAGAACTCAGGAGAGGTTATTAAAGTCTCCAGCACAGACACAAATAGGACAGAGTGTTTGGAAAAGGCTAGCAATGAAACACTGGAAAAACGAATGAAAATGAGGAGAGGAAGGGTTAATACAGGACTGAAGGTGTTTAATCTGAATGCACACAGTATAAGGAATAAATGAGCTTGTGGTGCAGATTGAAACTAGCAGGTATGACGTGGTAGGCATCACAGAGACATGGCTGCAAGATGATCAGGATTGGGAACTGAATATTCAAGGATATACATCATATTGAAAAGATAGGCAGGTGGGCCGAGGGGGTGAGGTTGCCTTATTAGTGAGAAATGAAATTAAATCAATAGGAAGAAATGAAGTAGGGTCAAATGTTGTAGAATCTGTGTGGATAGAATTGAGGAACCGCAAAGGTAAAAAAAACCATAGTTGGGGTTGTGTACAGGCCTCCAAACAGTAGTCAGGATCTGGGGCACAAGATACACCAGGAGATAGAAAAGGTGTGTAAGAAAGGCAAAGTCACAGTGATTATGGGGGATTTCAATATGCAGGTGGACTGGGAAAATCATGTTGGTAGTGGATTGCAAGAAAAGAAGTTTGTGGAATGTCTACGAGATGGCTTTTTGGAGCAGCTCGTGGTGGAGCCCACAAGGGCACAGGCAATACTGGATTTAGTGTTGTGCAATGAGGCAGACTTGATGAGGGAGCTTAAGGTAAATGAACCCTTAGAAGCCAGTGATCATAAGATGATAGAATTTACTCTGCAATTTGAGAGGGAGTAGATAGAATCAGAGGTAACGGTATTACAGCTGAATAAAGGTGACTACAGAGGTATGAGGGAGGAGCTGGGAAGAATTGACTGGAAGAGGAGCCTAGCAGGAAAGTCAGTGGAACAGCAATGGCAGGAGTTTCTGGGAGTAATTCAGGAGACGCAGCAAAAATTCATCCCTAGGAAAAAGAAGCATGGTACAGGGAAGATGAGGCAACAATGGCTGACTGAGGAAGTCAGGGATAGCATAAAAGCAAAAGAGAAAGCATATAATGTGGCAAATGGCAGTGGGAAAGCAGAAGACTGAGAAGCTTACAAAGACCAACAGAGGACAACAAAAAAAAGAAATAAGGAGGGAGAAGATTAAATATGAGGGTAAGCTAGCCAGTAATATAAATGAAGACTGTAAGAGTTTCTTTAGGTATATAAAGGGCAAAAGAGAGGCAAAAGTGGACATTGGACCACTGGAAAATGACGGTGGAGAGATAGTAGTGGGGAACAAGGAAATGGCTGAGGAACCGAATAATTACTTCATGTCAGTCTTTATGGTGGAAGACACGAGTAATATCCCAAAAATTCAAGTCAGTCGGGGGCAGAGTTGAGCATGGTGGCCATCAACAAGGAAAAGGTGCTAGTAAAACTGATTGGCCTGAAGGTGGACAAATCACCTGGACCAGATGGACTACACCCCAGAGTCTTGAAGGAGATAGCTAAAGAGATAGTGGAAGCGTTAGTGGTCATTTTTTGGGAATCGCTAGAGTCAGCGAGGGTCCCAGTAGACTGGAAAATCGCTAACGTGACACCCTTGTTTAAAAAGGGAGTAAGGCAAAAGATGGAAAATTACAGGCCGATTAGCCTAACCTCAGTCGTGGGTAAGATTTTGGAGTCCATTGTAAAGGATGAGATTTCTGAACATTTGGAAGTGTATCGTAATATAGGGCAAAGTCAGCATGGTTTCATCAAGGGGAGGTCATGCCTGACAAATCTGCTAGAATTCTTTGAGGAAGTAACGAGCACGTTAGACCAAGGAGAGCCAATGGATGTTATCTACCTGGACTTCAAGAAGGCCTTTGATAAGGTGACACACAGGAGGCTGCTGAGTAAGATAAAGGCCCACGGTGTTAGATGCAAGGTGCTAGCATGAATAGAAGATTGGCTGTCTGGCAGAAAGCAGAGAGCGGGGATAAAGGGGTCTTTCTCAGGATGGCAGCCGGTGACAAGTGGTGTTCCGCAAGAGTCAGTGCTGGGACCACATTTCTCACTTTGTACATTAATGATCTAGATGAAGGAAGTGTGGGCATTCTGGCTAAGTTGGCAGACAATACAAAAATAGGTGGAGGGACAGGTAGTATTGAGGAGGCGGCAAAGCTGCAGAAGGATTTGGGACAGGTTAGGAGAGTGGGCAAAGAAGTGGCAGATGGAGTACACTGTAGGGAAGTGTGAAGTCATGTACTTTGGTAAGAAGAATAAAAGCATGTACTATTTTCTAAATGGGGAGAAAATTCAGAAGTCTGAAGTGCAAAGAGACTTGAGAGTTCTAGTCCAGGATTCTCTCAAGGTAAACTTGCAGGTTGAGTCAGTAGTCAGGAAGGCAAATGCAATGTTGGCATTTCTTTTGAAAAGACTTGAACATAAAAGCAGGGATGTATTACTGAGGCTTTATAAGGCCATATTTGGAGTATTGTGTGCAGTTTTGGGCCCCATATCTCAGGAAGGATGTACTAGCCCTGGAGCGGGTTCAGAGGAGGTTCACAAGAATGGTCCCAGGAATAGAAAGCTTAACATATGAGCAACATTTGAGGACTCTGGGACTAGACTCATTGGAGTTTAGAAGGATGAGGGGGGGATCTAATTGAAACTTTCAGAATACTGAATGGCTTGGACAAAGTGGATGTTGGGAAGATGCTTCCATTGGACCCGAGGGCACAGCCTTAGAGTAAAGGGAAGGCCTATTAGAACAGAGATAAGGAGAAACTTCTTCAACCAGAGAGTAGTGAATCTATGGAATTCACTGCCACAGGAGGCTGTGGAGGCCAGGTCATTGAGTACATTTAAGACAGAGATAGATAGGTTCTTGATTATCAAGGTATCAAGGGTTACGGGGAAAAAGCAGGAGAATGGGGTTGAGGAACTTATCAGGCATGATTGAATGGTGGCGCAGACTCGATGCTCCGAATGGCCTAATTTCTGCTCCTATGTCTTATGGACTTATGGTCTGATACATCATTGGTACAGGAATGTAAAGAAAAGCATGTATTGCAGATACAGGGCAGACTAACCTCCCTATTATGTACCAAAAGCATCAGCCCATGTCTCCAGAATTTATGAGTAGCTCTGGGTGCATTCATCCTAGATACTGGCAGCTGCTTTGGAGCAAAAGTCATTTGTCAGAACAGCTTAGATCAGAAGGCTGTCAAGTGTCTAATAGAAAAAGAAGATCCTCTTTAGCGCTTGTGTTGAGCTTCTTAAGTTTGAAAAAACCAAGGACAGGAGTCATTGGGAGTACAGAGACACCTTTTGTTACTTTAACTTTTCTTTCACTTTCTTTTGTCTAGCACCATCATTTGTCTTCTACCTCATCACAGACCACTTTTTTCACCTGCCTAATTTTCATCAGCTATAAACCTATTTAAAAACTTCAGTTTTAACATTTTCTTGTGTCACTCAAAAGATCATCAATATGGAATGTCAACCCCATGATGGACCTGATGATGGTTTCAGCATTTCTGCAAGAATCTTTAAGCCTAGGGAGATTGGAAAAGACAACTTACTAACTTACTGAAAAGAAAACAAATGCAAGTAGAATTAGAAAGCTGCTCTTTTTAAAAATGACCCCCAAAGTGTTAAAAACACTAAACTGCGTTATTTCATGTTTTGATAGTCACATAGCAATCATTAAAATTTTATACTCATTTTATCGATGTGGAAAGTTTTCAAGGAAACTTCTTTCAACATTGAAGTAGAACACATTCTACCAAAACACTAATACACATTTACTTTGGTAGGTATTACAGTTCTAGTGTATTTAAGGTCAGTGTAGAATGACAGAATTATGCAGCATTTCCTTCCACTCAATGTTTTAAAGACAAACTTTATGGAAACATAACTTTGAATATTTATTTCACATACAAGTAAGACATAAACAGCAGCTTCAGATCTAGTGGTGTTTTTATTCCAATGGTTGCAGGTGGCGTCTTATTATTAATTCCCCAGTGCTCTTCAGGTAACTGTCAGCTAGTTCTTGCTCTGTTGGAAGTCCCTGTGGCAATTTCAGGGGTTGCACTCTGCAAAGAGATTTGAAGTATGTATCACTAAATTCATGAGAGAATTTTACAAACTTAAAAAAATTTATTGTATTTTCATTCACCAACCTTATAAGATGCTTGATGATTTTTAGTTTATTATTAATAGATGGAACATTCTTATGGATCCGTGGCTGATGTGACTGGTAAAACAAGGAAGATATTTTTCACATTTATCATTATCACAGCATTAAACAGCTATTCAATTAATTAGCATGTACAAATTTAACTTACATTAGTTTACATCAGGAATGAAGTCAACATACCAGATTCCTAAATATCTTATTTCTAGCTCTTCAATAAAGATTGTGCTGAAATAACAGATATCACTTTTCAGCTGAAACAACAGCCAAGACAATGAAAGTAAACATATTTCAAAATTCATTGTCTTCTCTTCCAGTTTCTTTAATATGTAAACCTTGGGCACTTAAGCAGCAAAAGCTGCGCGTACTTGACCTATTCAAAGATTTTTGCTAATGTAAAGCCATTTTCAACTTAGAAATGAACCAGATTATGCAATGTTCCATTTTATGTTAGCAAAAACTAAATGACCAACTGGTAAACTATTTTCTTAATTATCCAGTAACGTAGCAGTACGAAATATTCATCATTTGAGCAATCTGATTGCTAATGTTACCTATGATTAGAAATAAGATGCTCACGAATAGGCAGGGCATAGAAGGATACAGACCATGTGCAGGTGGATAGGATTATTTTTGAATGGCATCATGGTCAGCACTGACACGGTAGGTCAAAGGGTCTGTTCCTGTGCTGTACTATACTGTTCTATGTTCTTTAGACAAATATTCAAATAGAGCAGACTGTCTCACTGTAGCTGAAGGATGTATTAGTTCTGGTCATTATTGGAGAAAGCAATGGTAACATCTCAAAATTTGAATTCACAAGTAACACACTTTCTACCATTTACTCCTCTGACCTATACTGTCAGGATTAAATTTTTAAAAAAAACTTACGTGGGGTAAGATTTCACAAGGAAAATCAATTAGCAGGTAGTTCTCTACATCCAGATTTTCCAACAAGTTATTTATTATTTTTTTTTAAATTAATGACGTGAATTCCGCTAGCAAGACCACCATCTGTTGCCTCATCCCCCATTGTACATGAAGGTGCTGGTCTTCGTGAATTGCTACAGTCCATGTTGTTGATATAGTCACAATGCTGTTAGAAAGTGAAATCCAGGTTTTTGACTTACTAATAATCAAAGAATAGCGATATGATTCCAAGTCAGAATGGTGTGTGGCTTGGAGGGGAGTTTTGTATATACGTATGCATGTTCATATAAGGTCATAACGTTAGAAGTGGGGAAGTTTTGCCAGTGATTGTGGTGCTTGAGACCATTCATGACTTCAGATACTGAAGCATCATGTGTCAGTATGCAGCAAGACCTGAACAATGGTCAGATTTGGTCTGATAATTGCTAAGTTCCAATCAACAACCATCTCCAACAAGGGAGTCAAAGGGTACTGGAATAGGTAAAAATGTCATGTTGTTGGCCTAATCAGATCAGTCATGATATTATTGAATAGTGGAATAGGCTTAACAGGCCAAATGACCTATTCCTGCTTGTAATTAGTTTGCTCATAAGAGTGCAAATCTGACCATCAATTTAGTTCACTACTATTGACAACTAAATGTGGAAGGATTGTGGAGTTTTGATTTGATCCATAAGTTATCAGACTACTTAGCTCAAAAAATGAGGTGTCAACTTGGTCAAGCTACTAAGCAGGATGACTTGTATGACAAACAGCATAAGGAGCAAGTGACAAAGCCACGTGATCCCACAACTAACATATCAGAGCTAAGCAATTCCTTAACAACAGATCAGATCTAAGTTCTGCAGTCCTGCCACATCCAGCTGTGAATGGTGGTGGATAAATAAATAACTCACTGGAGGAAGAAGTGGCTCACAAATATCCCCATCCTCAATGGTGTAACAGCCCAACACGTTAGTGCAAAGGATAAGGTTGAAGGACATTATGGATCCACTTACAGCACATGGGCTGGAGCAATTCGAGAAGGCAGATCACCACAATCTTCTGAAGGGCGACTAGAGACGAGAATAAATGTTGGCCCAGCCAGTGAAGCCTACATCCCATGAGGTAATTTAAAAAACCTGCTTTCATGGTTTATGATGCAAGTACTGCTGTGTTGTAGCTTCACCATGTTGACGCCTGGTGAATCTTTAGATTTGCTCGGTGCTCTCCCAGCCATGATCCCCTGCACTTTTCATTGTACGAAGATTGATCTCTTGCTTCAATTGTTATGAAGTTGAGTCAAGCCCTGAGGTAACAGGTTGGCATTGAGTACCCAGTTGTGCTGTGGATGGCCACAGGGCTGCACGCATTATCCAACTTTGAGCTGCTGGATCTATTCTGAATCTATCCCATTTACCATTTTATTCAAGCTGATGTTGTCATACAACATGATGATGGTATCCTCATTGTGAATACGGGAATTTGTCTCAATAATGACTCTTCAGTGGTCTCTCTGTGACAGGTAGATTGGGCAGGGAAAAGTTAACTGTTTCCACTCTTGTTGATTTCCTCTGCACCAGTAATTATTTGATTCAGAACTGCCTGTTTGGTCAATCATAGTGCTACTAAGATTTTCTTACCGATAGGCATTGAAGTTCCCCCACCAAAAGCATTTTGCCCTTGTTAACTTTTACGCTTCTTCAAGGTGATATCCAACCTGGAAGAGCACTGATTTTTCAGCTGATAGAGGGAAGTAAGGGATAAATAGCCACAGGTTCACTTGCCCATGTTTGACCTTACGTTGATTCCAATCCCTGAAATCTCTCAATGTTAAGAATTCACACGATGACTCCTTCTCAACTGCCTCTGGGGGGTCTGCCTCCTAGTGGTAAGCACATATCCAGGGATGTTAGTGAAAGTGTCTGGGCATTGTGTCCAAGGTGTGATTTGCTGAGTATACTTACTTGAAACTGCTGTTTGACCTGTCTGTGGGACTGCTCTGTCAATTTTGGCACAAGCCCCCAAATAGTGCTAAGGAAGACTTTACAGGGTTAATTGGGCAAGGTGTGTCCTTTCCAGTGGCAAGGTAGATGCCAAGTAGTCCATTGGGTTATATTTGTTTGATTTTTTTTAAAAATAGAATTTTGGTACAAATGAGTGGCTTAGAGGCTATTTCAGAGGGAAGATTGCTGTGGGGCTGCAGTCATATGCTGGCCAGTACCAGATAAGGATGGCAAGTTTCATTCCCAAAGGACATGAATTTTTTTGCAACAATTTTAGTTTGTGATCATCATTACTGAGGCTAGTTTTGGTTCCAGAATTTTGAATTTTAAATTCTTTGAACTGCTATAGTGAGATTATAACTCACTCCAGAGCACATACTAGGGCCCATCAATTTGATTGTGTATCACTATATCAGCATCCACAAATGGGAAAAGGCTAAACGAACTTGCACTTTTCAGCCTGTGAAGAAAGCATGCAATACATTTCACAGAACTATACAATGATCATAAATAAAGTGGAAAATGTTGATCTCCAATACTATTAGATATTGAAAACAGGATGAAGGGACAGGTTTAAATTAGTAACATAAGGACAGATGTTCTTCACATAGCGAATGATCAACACTTAAAATGGACCTTTGGACTCAGTGGTAGAGGAGGAAACTTTTAAGTTATTTTAAAAAAAAATTCAGCAACTGGGGAGGAAGAGGGATTGTAATGTCTTTCTGGACAGGTGAGGTATCGCTCTTCCTCATCCACGAGTACACTGTGATATACTAAAATGGTTTAACATCCTGAAAAACCAGCAACAGGAACAAACCAAAAGACACTGCATACCTGTCCTTATTCAAATCATGGACAAAAGTAGAAAGTGAATATATTTGAATGACAAAAGGAATTAAAAATTAACAGGCATCCATCGTTGTGCCAATAGGGAATCATAACATGGATTTTATGACCCAAACAGAAATCAAACTGCTGCAGAGTTAAATGGTCAGAAAGAGAGAAGGTCACTTTGGGTAAAAAGTTGGTTTGGATTGGAGAACAAGAGCTAAAAGATAAACAGGACCATCCAACATGACAGAACACAGCATGAAGCACGTGAGGCACAAAAAAGTTCCAAAATGGATTTAATAACACTAAAGATAAAAAGTGTAGGAACGGACCTTTAACTACAGCAGACCCACTAAGATTAATAAAGACAACACACAGAAAAGATAATTCACCTTGTCTAACCCGAGATCATGGACAATCTTTTTTTCCCAATATGGACGTCGTTTTGTACATTTTATTCTGGTAATGATGTGCAGTTGGTGTGGACAGTCCGGATCACCACCATATCTTGCATGATCCGATGGTGAAACTTCAAACATCTGAAACCAAAAGATAAATTGATTATACAAAAAATAATTTATGCAGATAAACCAAATTATTCCATCACATTTCCAACATGGAACATTAGTTTAGGATTCAAACCAAATTCAGTTCTCCAGTCCAAGACTAGGCAGTCAGAATCTAGAATCACAGAGGGAAGACTTTTGACTTATCAAATCTGTACCCTGACTTTGGTAGAAGTAGGTAATTGATCCCATTTCTTAGTGCTTTCCCAAAACCAAGCAGATCTTTTCCTTCAAGTATTTATTCAATTCAAGTTTGAAAGTCAAGATTAAATCTGCTTTTACCACTTGTTCAGACAATACATTTCAGATCACAACAAATCGCTACATGAAAATAGTTTCTCCATTTCACCTCTGGTTCTTATGCCAATCATGTTACAACTGTGATCCCTGCTCCCGAATCATTCTCCTAATGGAAACTGTTTCTTCTTAACTATTCAATTACACCAATTTGGTGTATGTGTGAAGAACAACTCTCATCTCTCCACATAACAGAAGTCCTTCACCCTTGGTACCAATCTAATACAAGACTTCCACATATATAGCAAAAGTCTCAACCTTCGGCTATAAAACCCATTGAAACATCTTATAAACTTTGTTTGATGTGTAGTTTCTTGCCATGTAGGAAATCCAGCATCTGGAGGATAGTGAAATGTAGGGTATGCAGCGTAGTTTGATCTTAGTAGGATAATAGGTCAGCACAACATTGTGGGCCGAAGGGCCTGTACTGTTCGATGTTCTTGGATATTTTGCATCATTTTCCCTTTTGTGCAGAAAGGGGTCATTCAGCCCAAGTGTGCATGATCCTCTGAAGAAGCCTCCCACCCAGACCTAGCCCCCACCATATCCTGCAACCCTGATTTTATCATGGCTAATCCAACTAGTCTGCATAGCCTTGGACACTACGGGACAATTTACGATAGTCAATCTACCTAACATGCACACCTTTGGGCTGCAGAAGGAAACCAATAGAACGAGCAAGAGTGAGACAGGCAGCACACACGCTAGAGACAGCACGAGGCAACTGGTAGTGGTTAACTGAAACGTCAACATGCCTCAGGCAAGGAGAGGTGTTGAGGAGGAGAGTCCCTTGTGATAACCTCAGCCGATGCAGGAATTGAACCCACACTGTTTACATTCCTCTGCATCACAAACTACCCATCTTTGGAGTACAGAAGATTGACACGTAACCTAATTGAAACTTACAACATTATTAAAAGGGGTAGGCAGGATGGATGCAGAAAGAATGTTTCCCCTGAATGGAGGGACAAGAACCATGAGGTACAAAATCAGAATAAAGGACAAACTACTTGGACTGAAATTAGGAGAAATTTCTTCACTTCGACAATAGTGAATTTTTTTGAAATTTTCTACCCCACAGGGCTGTGGAAGCTGAGTTATTGAATATATTCAAGACAAAAATCAGATTACTAGATACTGATGACATTGAGGTATATGGGGACAGTGCAGGAATACTGGATTGAAGTAAACTATCAGCCATCACCTAGAATGGTGGAGTCGTCTCAAGAGGCTGAATGGCCTACTCCTGCTCCTGTGTTCTTATAGGTGAATTTGTATTTAGACAAGATTGAGATATGAAGTGGGGTAAAGCTTCTGATATTGCAAAAACCTCAGATTCTGTATGCAATCTGAAGAGTTACAATCCAAATATTGACAGGTGGGACTTGACTGGATGTCTTGGTCTTCAGCTGGTGCAGACACAATAGATCATATGACCTCAAATAGCAAGAACTGCAGATGCTGGAGTCAGATAACAGTGTGGAGCTAGAGGAACACAGCAGGCCAGGCTGCATCCGAGGAGCAAGAAAGTTGATGTTTTGGGTCGGGACCCTTCTTCAGAAATGGGGGAAGGGGAAGGGAGCTCGGAAATAAATACAGAGAGGAGGGGTGGGGCTGGGAAAGGTAGGTGGGGTGGCGATAGGTGAGTGCAGGTAGGCAACGGTGGGGATTGGTCAGTGAGGTGGGGGAGCAGATAGGTGGGAGAGATGATGGACAGGTTGCGTCAGATCAAGGAGGCAGGGATGAGAGGGAGGGTTGGACATGGGAGGCGGGGGAAATTTTAAAACTGGTGAAATCTATGTTTAGGCCATTGGGCTGTAGGCTCCCAAGGCGGAATAGGAGGTGCTGCCCCTCCAGTTTGCGCGTGGCACTATTGTGATACTGGAGGTGGCCCAGGATGGACATGACACCCAGAGAATGGAAGGGGGAGTTAAAATGGTTCACGACCAGAAGGTGTTGTCATTTGTCGCATACAGAGCGCGGATGCTCTACGAAATGGTCTCCAAGTCTCTTCTTGGTCTCACTGATGTATAGGAAGCCACATCAGGAAGGACAGAGAGGTATCAGAGGTGAATTTGAGGTTGGGGTGAAAGGTGTTAGTAAAGTTGATGAACTGTTCAAGCTCCTCGTGGGAGCACAAGGCAGCGCCGAAACTGTCATCGATGTAGCTGAGGAAGAGGTGGGGAATAGTGCCAGCGTAGTAACGGAAGAGGGACTGTTCCACGTATCCTACAAACAGCAGGCATAGCTTGGGCCCATGACCACCCCCTTAGTCTGCAGGGAGTGGGAGGAGTTAAAGGAGAAGTTGTTATGGGTAAAGACGAGTTCTGTTAAGCGGATGAGGGTGTCAATGGAGGACTGGTTGGGTCTGCGGGAGAGGAAGATGTCTTTCTGTATTATTACTTTTTGTGAAACAGAAGCTTCTGTTACTTAAGGAGAGAAAGTGGTAAAGTTATTATGTCACTGGATTGTAATCCAGAAAACCATGGCAGCTGGTGGAATTTGAATTAAATTATCACATCTAGAATTAAAAGCTTGAGTACTGGTGACCATGAAACCATTGCCACTATATACACTGTATTCAGTCCAGAATTAAGTCAGGCCTGCCTACTCACCAAGCATTTCAGAGGCAGCCAGAGGCATGCGATTGCCAAGGTGGCCTGCATTGATTCTTCTGAACTTCAGCTCAACTGTAGTAAAGGCCGATAGGTTCTCTAGCCTAATTAAGAGACATGAAGAGGGGTAATGCTTCTAATATTGAAACACATCAGGTTCTGTATGTAAACTGAAGATCATAAAACCACATCTGCTTCACTAATGCCCTTACAGGAACAAAGTCTGCCACCCTTACATGGTCTGGCCTACAAGTGACTCCAGACCTGCGGCACTCTGGATGAGCCTTCAACACTCTCTAAAATGACCTGGCAGGCCAATAAGCTTGAGTCAATGGGGGTTGGGCAATAAGTGCTGGCCTTGCTTGTGATGCCCATGAAAGAGTAAAATAAAATGAAGAATGGCCATCTCCAACCGATGCATTTATAATGTTGCAAGAACAGTCTTTTCAAAGCAGATTTCTGAATGTGTTTTCTTCATGAGCATTTCAAAAATTGTCACTGTTACTGCATGGCCCATTATCATTGCAATTAATGCAAAATGTGAGAGTGAGCAATGGGAGGTTGTAGCCCATGAGAGGTATGAGGGAAAATAGGAAGTAATTAAGGTGAGGGCTCAAGGACCTAACAGCCTTTACTGTAACTGAGCTGATGTCCGAAAGAATCAATGCAGGCCACCTAACCGACCCACCTCGGGCACTCGCGTGCCTCGATGATTACCTCTGAAATGCTTGGTGAGTAAGCAGGCCTGACTTAATTCTGTGCACAATTTCCTGGGGTGAATACAATGCATGTTGTGGCAATTTACATATAAATGGGACTGCCAAATCAGGAAATTTACCCAACTCAAGATTCCTATGTCAGTAGCAATGAAAAAAAAAGTGCTATGCCTCTATTAAAAAGGACAAGGATCTTGTAAGCATTTTATTTTTAAAAAGCATCAACTCTTCCTAACACCTTCAAAGATTTATGTAGATATATCCCATACATTCCTGCACCATTTCAAATATATTGCCTCACCTCATCCTTCAAATCAAAATGTATCACAGCACATTAAATTTAATATCACATGTCTTCCCATTTCACCAGTCTAGGACTTTGTTATAACAAGGTGTAGAGCTGGATGAACACAGCAGGCCAAACAGCATCAGAGGAGCAGGAAGGCTGACGTTTCGGGCCTAGACCCTTCTTCAGGACTTTGTCATCTTCCTCACTGTTTACGTCACATCAGAGTTTTGTACATTTGAAAAGTAGTTTTTACTTGAGGACTTTTAGCATTTACAAATCTCTCTTTTCCTCTTGGCCTCTCAAGACTCTCACCATCTCCATTCTCGCCCGGGCTTAACCAGCACCGCCAGCACCACCAAGCACTCCCACTCCCCCCAACCCTCCCCAATCCCATTATCACAACAACATCTCTTCTATCCCATTTTCCCTTTCCTCTATTCAGCTTTAAATCAAAGACTGGCATTACTATGGATCCCTTTATGACTACAGAGGGTCCCAAAGTGCTTACTAGTACTTCTTAAATGTAATCCCTACTCTCATGTATCCTATTTATTCCTCTTCTTCAGTGAGGCTGGAATACACAGCCTGAGAGTGTGGTGGAGGCTCTCTCAATCAAGGCATTCAACATTCAAGAGAATTAGATGGTTGTTTCAAAACAAGCAATGTGCAGAGGGAGCGGGGGTGGAGAAGCAGGAAAAATAGCATTAGGTGAGATGTTCATTACAGACAGCTGGTGCAGAAACAATGGGTTAAATGGCCTCCTTATGAACTGTAACAGTTCTGTGATTGACCACGTATGTGAAATTTGCTGATATCACCATGTGATGCACTCAGTCAACTTGTACAAGAAAATAAAAACAAAATACACAAGAATACAAAGCCAGTCTTTCAGCTTAAAAAGAAACAGGATGCAACTAGCTAAAAACTCATGCAGCAATGGATGTAATGGTGACTTTACTACTCAGTTAGGAAAGACTAGAATACTCAATGGATTTTGAATAAACCTGGAGAATCATAGAACCCCTACATTGCAGAAGGAGGCCATTCGGACCATCGAGTCCACACCGACCCTTCAAAGAGCAACCCGTCCAGAACCAGCCCCGATCACATTCCATAACCCCATATTTACCATGGCTTATCCAATAGCACACACATTCCTGAACACTATGCACAATTTCAGTATGGCCAGTCCACCTAAGCTGCTCATCTTTGGTCTGTGGGAGGAATCCCATGCAGACACAGGGAGAACATGCAAATTCCACACAGGCACCCGAGGCTGGAATCAACCGAGGTCCTTGAAGTGGTGAGGCAGCAGTGCTAATCACTGAGCTACCATGCCACCCTTGAAATAAAACCTAGTTATAGTTAACGCTCTCACCTTTTTGGGAATGCGAGCCTTGGTAAACTTCAATCGTACAAATCCAGGCCATGACAGTGGAATCAAAAACTGTTCCATTAAGTTCTGCAAAAACAAATTACAAGTTTTGAAACTTAGTGATTTACATTGGATGAGGCAAAAATTTGAATTAAACATTAGCTTTCTAGTCAAGGGAACATTCTATAGGAAAAAAATGAAGACTTGTTTATTGAAGATAATGCATAAAATCACAGAAGTAATTATTCAAATTGATGAATCTTAAAAGTTAATCATTATGCATTCACTATATAACTATGTGCCAAACACAATATTGTAAATATTTAAATTCAAAAATACATTTAAATATTACTTTCATCTAATGGCTACTGAAACCAATACTCTCATTTAGAGTCATACAGCATGGAAACAGACACTTCAGTCCGACTCATCTCTGCCAACTATGTTTACTAAACTGAACTCGTCCTATTCGAATTTGACCCATATCCCATAGGAAGGATGTTCCCAATGACTAGGGAAATCCAGAACGAGGGGTTACAGTACAAGGATTCGGATAGGCCATTTAGGACTGAGGTGAGGAGAAATTCTTCACCTAGAGAGTGGGGAGCCTGTGGAATTCTCCACCAGAGAAAGCAGTTGAGCACAAAACAAAATAACTCTTTTCAAGAAGGAGGCAGATTGATATCTTTGCCCCAAGAATTATAAGGGTATGGGGCAAAAGCAGGGACAGGATACTGAGTTAGATAATGAGCCACAATTGAGTTGATTGGCAGAGGAGCATGAAGTGCTGAGAGGCCTACTCCTGTTCCTATTTTCTATGTTCTTACGTTTTCTCCCACCCCATGCTACAGAGGCCAACATACAGGCTCTGAGGTTGGTTTTCAGGACGCCCTGTGATGTGTTTCTGCCACTTGGGATAGAGCACATGGACCTTAAGCATTGTTGGAATGCATCTAATTGCTTTATACAATGTCAGTAAGTTGGCCATTCCTCTCAGCCATTGAGAAGTCACGCAAAAACCACTGCACAGTACACTTTTGTACACAAATTCCACATTATCTTCAAAGACTGTGGGTAACTCTAAAAATGCTAAGCTTGTTTTCTTTTCCCCCAAGCAATGGACATTTTCTATGTGCAATGTGTTG